TGCAGCCATGGAAGCATCACAGCAATCCCAGCACGGCAATCCACACTGGCAACACTCCTGGCTGCTGCACTGATGCTGCACTGATGCTGCAGATACTGATGTGATGCCCCACTTGCAAACCTGCCTTGCAAACCTGCTGGGAGCTGTCCTGGGATCCCCACTAAATGCTCCCAGGGCTTGCAGAGGTGTGTTTTGCAAAATCTCAACTTTGGACATTTTACAACAAGAAAACTCAATTGTGCAGTGACCCCAGTGATGTGAGGAGGACAGCAGCATCTAAATTCTTGTGCTTTTGTGTCGCCCTGATTTTTTTAAGATTTTCTAAGCCTTCTGATGTTGACATTCTTGTAGTGAACTTCCTCACACACTTTCTGTAAATAACCCATTGTTTTGCTTTTCTTTAGGGAGGAGGAGAAAGTTGATGGACTGTTGGTTTGTCCAGTGTTATTAGAGACGTGGCACTGTCACCCTCCAATCCACTGTCACTCTTGGAAAACTATAAATGTTGGAGTCAGAAAATAAACTTCCCTTTTTTCCTCACCTTGAGAGCAGCAGTGTGCGCTTGTGTTGTTTCATGTCCTGTAGTGACACTTTTGCTACTCTCACCATTTTGTATCTGGTTTGGGTGGCAAGGAGGGGTTACAGGGTGGCTTCTATGGGAGACTGCCAGAAACTTCCCTGTGTCCAGTGGAGTTGATGCCAGCAGCTCTGAGAGGCACCCACAGCTGGGTGAGCCAAGGCTGAGCCAGCAGCGATGGTGGCAGAGCAGCAGCTGGAGAGAGGAGTGAGAATGTGTGAGAGAAACAACACTGCACACACCCAGCCAGTGGGAGAAGAGGGGCAGGAGCTGCTCCAGGTGCCAGAGCAGAGATTCCCCTGCTGCTCATGCTGCAGCCCATGTGAGGCAGATGTGCCCCTGCAGCCCGTGGAGATGCACAGGGGAGCAGAGATCCCCTGCAGCCTGAGTGTAGCCATGATATTTTCGGAAAAAACCTTCCCTTGGGATTTTTCCTCCTGAGAAGCTGAGACCTCAGGAACAAAATGTAAACAATGGTTATCTGCTGCTGTGGAATGCAACAGGTGCATCTGTGATTGGTCTCATGTGGTTGTTTCTAATTAATGGCCAATCACAGTCAGCTGGCTTGGACAGAGAGCCGAGCCACAGATCTTTGTTATTCATTCCTTCTTTTTCTATTCTTAGCTAGCCTTCTGATGAAATCCTTTCTTCTATTCTTTTAGTATAGTTTTAATATAATATATAAGATAATAAATCAAGCCTTCTGAAACATGAAGTCAGATCCTCTTCCCTCATCCTCGGACCCCTGTGAACACCGTCACAGCCTGTGGAGGACCCCACACTGGAGCAGGGGATGCCCAAAGGAGGATGTGGCCGCCCTGGAGCAGCTCCTGGCAGGCCCTGTGGTCCCACAGAGAGAATCCAGGCTACAGCAAGTTCGCTGACAGGATTGTGGCAGCAGCTGCTCCTGCAGGCCGTACCTGTGTCAGGGACCCAGCTGGGGCAGTTCATGTCCAACTGCAGCCCCTGGGAAGGATCAGGATGGAGGAGGCTGTGGGACACTCCTGTGTGTCTCCCATTGGAGAACTCTGTCCTGGAACAGAGGAAGAGTGTGAAGGTTCCTCCTTCTGGGGAGGAAGGAGTAGCAGAGACAATGTGTGATGAACTGAGCACAGCCCCTTTCCCTGTCCCCATGGGCTGCTGTAGGGGAGGAGGTGAAGCAAATCTGGACTAAAGTTAAGCCTGGCAATAAGGGAGGGGTGGGGGAGCATGTTTTTAAGACTTGGCTTTATTTCTCATTATCCTACTCTGATTTGATTGGTAAAAAATATATTTTTTCCAAGTTGAATCTGCTTTGCCCCTGGCAGTGATGGGTGAGCGATTGCTCCCTGTCCTTATCTTGACCCATGAGCCTTTCTTTGTATTTTCCCTCCCCTGTTCAGCTGAGGAGGGGAGTGACAGCCTGGCCTTGATGGGCACCTGCTCTGTCCCCCCAGGGTCAACACACCACACATCTGTAAAATGGATATATCTGTTATCGCCCCTATCAAAGGCAACATGTGGGGCAGCAGAGGGATTTAGAGACACTTAATAACTGTAAAGTGGTGACAATACAGGGATGGTGTTAGGAAATAGCAAAGCATTGCCTTGGCAGGTGAATAATTTGTGCCCCAAAGCCATTATGAGCAGGAAGTGACCTCTTCTGTCAGTTTAGCAACCCCTGTCCACTGGGCTCTAAATGTCACACAAATAAATAATGACAGGTAGAGTATTTTTTAAATTTCAGAAAATTCTGCCTCATTTTCCCTTGGAAATTAATTGGAGTTTAATCACAACTGGAGCAAAGGCAACACTCCCTTTTACCTGCCCATTACCCAGCTGGTTCTAACGGAGGCTTTTCGAGGCTCCATGCAGAACAGCAACTCATTCATCTTCTATTACTATTTGAGTTTTTCTAGCACGCAGTCTCTTCCCCTGCAGGATGAACCCCGAGGTGCTCAGCAGTGGGATTGCTCTTTCCAAAGGCAGCACAAATGTGTGCAGGATGTGGCTGTGACATTGGTCCCCAAGAGAAAGCACCAAGTCATGAAGAGAAGTCAAGTCAGTGCTCCCATCTCTGAAGGAAATAACTAACTCCCTGTCATGTCTCTAGCAAAACCTGAAGGGACTGTGATTTGAAGAGTGTATTTCTGAGTACCCTGCTTTGCCAGTACACAGTATTTCTGTCTTTCTTTTTTATTAACAACGACTAAATGAACCTCAAAAATTATCTGGACTGAATGACAACAAAACAAACTAAAATTAGTAACAGCATACTCATTGCCTAGGGCAGCACTGAGCTGATGGCTGATGTGATGGTGACAGACAAATCCTTATTCCCATTCTAAATTCTGTCTACTAAATAAATAAGTAATGCCATCAATAGCATTTCCAGAAATTGCATCCACCTCCTGCAACTTTTACACTATTATTGTATTGCTTGAGTGACTCTGCAGCAGAGCTGGGTACCTGGTCTGACTCAGAAGTGGCACCATAGCCAATGAACTCATGAAGAGAGAGATTGGATAAGTTAAGTGTGAGGTTTGATGGATAATATCCTATATTAGTCCTTAGCAGAAATCCAGCATTGTCATGTCTTTTACTACTCTACGCCAACCTTCTGTAGTGTGGAAATACTTTCTAGATATTTCTGATGTATCTCCTTGTTCTTCACCTATTTTTTTTCATATCAGCCTGATAACAAAAAGAAAAAAAAAAGTATCTGAATAGCAACCTATCTTGACATAAAGACAAGCAACAAAAAAACATAACAGGTCACATCAGAAATAGCTAGGAGATCTGGGGAAAAATATAACTGCACCTAGGCAAACCTGTACCTTTCAAACTTTTTAGGCAGATAAGCAGAGTTGTCCTATTTCAGTATCTTTGGATTTCTCAGTGACTGAAGCCATATTTTTCTGTTTGTGTTCATTAGAAATCCCTTTTGTAAGGACAGGATTGAATCTGAAGTGTTTGGACACAACATGCTTCTCCCAGCAGCACAAAAAATGCAGCTTTACTGTCCTGCTGCAGAGAGGCTTCAATGCCACTTCTGAATTATCTCCTATTGCCCCAGACAAAAATAAAATAAAAAATAAAATAAAATAAAATAAAATAAAATAAAATAAAATAAAATAAAATAAAATAAAGTATTACATGACTGGATGTGAGTACTCCCTAATTTTAGCAACTTTTTGAGTATTATCCATTTAAGGTCCCCTCTGACACGTCTGCTTTTCTCTGGTTCCATTGGTGGCAGGGCTGCTCACCCTGGGGATTGCTCATGGAGCAGCAGCAGGGCTCAGAGCAGTCTCACAGCCTGGCTGGGCTCCCTCCTGCTCACCACCCACCAGGATGCAGTGGTGGAATCCATTCCCAGACAAACACACCTCCAAGATTCCCCTCATATAATTAGGCCACAATGCAATCCCACGGGGGCATCTGCTGAGTGCAGCCTCCCTCTCTGAGCTCCTTTCTACAGCTGGTGCTTCCTGGTGAGGTTTTCTGAAACCCCACAGCTGGGGTTTGAGGCTCTAAGGTACTGCAACACTTCTTTTCACAGACACTGAGCTAGGCACACGAAAAAGAGAGAGTCAAAATGAATAAATTCAGATGTTAGAGAAAGTGATTTAAGTCCAGCACATGCTTTGTAGCACACTTAGAAATAAGAAGTCTGCTCTCCATGCAGGTATGTAATGCCCTTTAGGCAATTATTCATAAAACCATGTTACATTATGGACAGAACAGTGTTCCCTATGATGGAAATGCACAGAGCTCCTGCCTCTAGAGTCTGTCCTGGTGGGACTCAGAGATGATCACTGTGTTCTTTGTATGGCAACTTGGCTTTGCTTTCCTTTGTCCAGGGCTGCCCTCCAGTGCAGCATCCAACAGGGCTGGATGGCAGACACCTCTGTGGTGTGAGTTTGGATGGCAGATAGCTCTGTGGTGTGAGTTTGGATGGCAGGTACTCTGTGGTGTGAGTTTGGATGGCAGATAGCTCTGTGGTGTGAGTTTGGATGGCAGGTACTCTGTGGTGTGAGTTTGGATGGCAGGTACTCTGTGGTGTGAGTTTGGATGGCAGATACCCCTGTGGTGTGAGTTTGGATGGCAGACACCTCTGTGGTGTGAGTTTGGATGGCAGGTACTCTGTGGTGTGAGTTTGGATGGCAGGTACTCTGTGGTGTGAGTTCACAGCATTCACAGCACCAGAGAGAACTCTTTAGTTGCCTGCAGACTTATTCCTCTGGCTATCAAGATTTTCAGGAAAGGCTAACAAGCCCCAAGGCCTTCAGATCATGGTGTCTTGCTTAGGACTATTGAAAGGAACCTGGCTGGTGTCCAGAATTATTTGAGTGCACAAGGTTTTGCAGCTTTGCAAAATCAGTTTACAGCATAACAAAACCCTCACTGGGAAAAATCACCAGGCTGTAAGGAATCTGTGTGGTGTTAGACAATTTAGTGGCAGCATTAACCTTGCCATAAAAATGTGAGGATCTTCATCTAGACATGCTTTTAGCAGTTATAAAGATGTACAGCCCCTTCACAGTGGATAGAAATGTTGGGTTTGGGTCACAAAAGTCCTCAGCTGGATTAGAGTCCAAGGTGGTGCTAAAGATATAAATATATACATATATATGTGTACACACACACAATCCTCTTCTGCATCGCTTTGCATGAGTGCTCTGAACCATTTGTAATGCAATGACCCTGAAGGAAATCCATGAGAGCCAAACAATTGATAATAATGAGACAGAAAAACCAGAAAGCCATATACCTTCTAGGACATGAGGAAGAGAGGAGAGCCATTGGGTATTTCACTGAATCCATTTATTTTGAGATTACTTGAAAACTCCACTTAAAAACTGTGCTGTAGAAGACATCTCAATTGCACTTCCTTGAAGCCTTAACTTGGAGATACAGGAATACTTTGAGATACAAAGTTCAGTTCCCAGTTGCACACAGAGATGATGCTTTCTGCTTTTACTAGTATCTTCATTACATTCTTGTGCAGCATGAGCTTATCTATTTATATGTACCTGTTTGGTCCAGGAAAAATAAGTTTTGGGTTGCATTTGTTTAATTTAAAGGGAAATTGAAGGGCTCTAAAAACAATGAAATCAACAAAAATGAGATTAAGGTGGAGACCAGTTAGAAATCACTCTGCCAAAAGACACATAAAGATGTCTGTATGTTTCAGTTAAGAATATTATTTTTTCCAGACAATGATATATTAAATAACAGATTTTGTAAACCTTCATGGTACTAAACTGCTTAATGCTAAGAAGTCAAATCGATAAGACGCTTTCTCTGGGCCTTCACTCCATTCCCCAAACACAGTCAGATGGATTTAGGTGGGGAATAAAAAACATGCTCTGAGGATGTCACTGCTGTGACTCATACCTGAGTCTCCCCAAAAATGATGAGTTTGGAGGAGACAGTTGTCCTTGAAGCACTGTCTTGGCACTGTTCCTCAGGAACAGTTGTGGTGGAAGAAAGCCATGAGTGAGAAACACCAAAAGCTGAAGAGGTGTTGGGATGTTCCTCCATGCATGCTCCTTGCCAGGGGGCCTCAGGGGTTGCAGAGGTACAGACTGCCCTCTCTGAACCAACAAAACCTTTGTTCTTTTCCTAGAAGAGAAAAATTGGCTGAACCTACCCCATTCCTCATTCCCCTTTTGGAAAGGGAAAGAGGCATTGAACTTTTAGAGTCCTTACAGCACTACTGACAAATGGCATTTAGGGAGTTTTACACATGGCAACCAGAGGGGTGATGAGGCACAAGTGGTCCCTTGTGCATTGCAGTAGTTTTGCTATAGCCTAATCAATGCTTATTTGCTTTGATTCTTCCTAGTAGTGAGCAGAGGCTGCATGAGCAGACCATTGAAACAATCAAACATGGATTTTGGCAAAGAATTTTGAAGATTTGTGACTTTATTTCGGCCAACAACAGAAATGGACTGCAATTATTTTGATGTTTGGAATGCTTGTATTAGTACCAACAATATTTAAGGTGAACTTCCAAAGATGTCTTTGTTGGTGAAATAAAAGGGTCTTTCCTGTCTTTGTGTTATATTTCATTACAATGTATGATTACCTGTCTGGAATAGACCTCTTGGAAGAGAGCAAGAGCTATTGTCAGATTAACTAGAGCCATATGTCTGCAGCATAAATCCATATAATGGAGGGAGTCATGTACCTGGGAGGGTGGATGGATGTCCCAAAGAAGGAACAGAGACTGAGAATAACTGCTGAAAATCCAGAAACCTTTTTAGTAGCTGAAGTCTTAGAAAACAGAGTATTTGAGTTTGCATTTAGGCAGAAGCAGGCTTGGTGTCATGCTTTGGGGTCTGGATCCTGCAGACTGATGCAGCAGCCCATGGCAATAGCCCACTTTGTGGCAGTTTTAATCTGTAGGTTTTCACATGCTGTCAGGACAGCTTGTGCACTGAACACATTCTGTGCCAGGTCTGCACATCTCAGAGGGCTCTGATGGGAAATTGAGCATGACCAACAGGCCCAGGAGAGCCTGGGCAAAAATGGTGCCCAGGACAGTGGCAGTGCACCCCTCAGAACCCTCCTTCTGGGGCAGAGCACTTACACTGGATCTCTGCAGATGGGCTTGCCCTCAGAGCTGCTCAGCCTCCGAAGCACATCCTGGTGCTGCCACTGCTCCTTGTCAAGGATCTGGCCCTGCCTAAACCAGGCTAATTATTAAGTCGTCTCCTTCCCATTAACTTGTGAGGAAAATTACCCTTCTGGGTTTGAATGACAGAACAGCATTAAGAGTATGCACCTTTTTTTTTTCTTAAATCAACCAAACAGAAAATTCACAATGAGGATGATCTTGTAATTACACACACGTCAGAACAGAGAGCATGATAGTTTGCTCAGATTTCTGTGAACGTTTCTTTAGAAGAATTTGGGAGGAGAGAGGGAGGGAAACGTTCATTGTAAATCAACTTTGGCATGAAACTTTTGTAAAAAGGTGCCCAACATGCATTACATTCTTTGTTCTGTGTTTTTCCTACATATAAAGCCTTGACAACCTGCTATTCTATGATTGATGCACTTATTTCTTCTAAAGTATCACTAACCAAGCATATCATTTTTATACAGTAAGTGTGTATTCAATTTCCTACAGTTTGACTGCTAAACAGGCTCAATGGTAAAACAAATATATACTGCTGCAGTACACTGTTCAGGGGGACCAATGGAAAACTTTGGAATATTTTTCATTTGTGTTCCCTTTGCTTTTAGTGGCAATGAAATCACAGCAGGGGCACATGATAACTATCCATATTTTTATGAAAGTTGTATTGTCATTGGGTGAAGTCTCCAACTACTGCAGACTTTGTACAATGTTAATAGGAATATTATGATTCATATATTCTTGCACAATAAAGCAGAATGACATATCAGGTTTGCAGGCTCTCCTGACAAGGTATGAGGTATTTATCTGGGTTTGTACACCACGGACTTATCAGCCGAGTATCTGAACGACTATTGACATCATTATCATTCATGTATTCATAAAATGTTTAGGGGTCTCCCAGTTACATTCTACCAAGGATGGAGTTGCTCCTTCTAAGTGTGAAAGAAAATATAAACTGAGAGAAAAAGAATTCAAGCTCCTGCAGGCTTAGCACTGGATCCTGGCACTCGTGGACCAGGCAGGAGGATAATGGATCTGTGAGAATTCCTGTATGTTTATGATGTACGAGGCATTTCATCTGACATTGAATCAGGTCAGTGCCTCCATTGGACAGGATGCAATGTCAATGGAACTGTTATGTATTATTGATGTCAGTCACAGAATAGATAAAAACATTAACAAAATAGCTTCCATTGTCTTTTTTTTTTCCCCTCAAATGACAAAAGGCACCAGCCCTTACAAGAGGCCTCTAATGTTTCTGATTCTCAAACACTTTTGACTTGGAGAAAATTTAGGAAATTAGAATATAATGACAAAACAATATTTATATGTGAGAAGAATGGCTTAGCTCCTTTCACTTATATTTTGTGGAATTAAGTTTTGCCTGCAAAAGAGAAATCTGCTCACTCTAGGTCCACTTCTGCAAATTGTGGGGCATATGAGTCTTTTATTGACTACATTTTTGCTTATCTCCAGGTTATGCATTACTATCCCAATGAATCTATAGGAATAATTGTTACTTACATTGAAAGCAACTTTAAACAGCTTGGTCTGTGACACTGAAGCACATATTGGCCCTTCCTCACACTGCTAAAGACAGTGAAGAAAGACCGCCACACAAATCACACCCAATGGACTACACAGATTCTTAAAGTAAAAGGAAATGTAAAAATTAAAAGCTTTTAACATGGATTATACCCATTTTACCCAGCCTCTTACTTTTGCATTGCACATTGCTCCCTAGACATGCAAACCACTTAGGCTGTTGCCACAACTGACCCATTCCTAAATCAGCATCCTCAAGCCCCACCAAAATCTGAGCTGTGTTTTAAACACCACGTTAAAAATAGGTATGTATGAATAAATATTTAGAGGATTTAAAACCTTATGAGCAGGGAAATAAGCACCATGGGGCATGCCACCCAAAGACTACAGACAGTTTCTTGGCGTTCTGTATTATCCCAATCCCTTTAGTGACATTTTAAAACTTAAAGAAAGTAAGGAACACAATAAATTTCAACAGGGCAATTCATGCTGAAATTCAAGCACTTAAAGGTTGCACAGCTTCAAAGCATAAACCATACATTGCATTTGCCAATCAGTTCCATGAAGGGATAGGGAAAGGTATTTACCTAATTTATGTGTTTAGAGTTGTTTTGTGCTCATACCTTTGGTGGGCTCATCTGAGATTTACACATTTGCTCCTGCACCCATGGAAGACAACTTCATTCAGAGCCTAATTTAGCAAAATAAAAAAATTAATTTTACTAAAGATAATGACCTCAGACTAATACAATGAAGTTAAAGGAAATGCATTCCAAAAACATCGCTTTGCTTGCTCCTGTCTAATGAAGGGTTTGTTTGAGCCTTCACTGTGGATTTGTCCTATTGTTTAATTTCACCATGATGTTCAGAACACCCTGTGCCAACTGGTAACTTTTGGGCACAAAAACCCCCCAGGAATTCCAATGTTATACATTTGAGCCCTTGTCAGTAAACTGGCCGCACCTCTGAAACTGCAGGAATCCACAAAGTAAGGAATTGTAATACTGACACAACCTGATTGAGAATGTTGATTTTCACAATAATCCTATTTAAAAAATATTTTTCTTGCATCCATTCCCCTGCAACTTATCTTTGCTTCCTAGTTCTTTGTTTTGAGCTAGGAATGCTTATGGGGTCATTAAAGCCATAATTTGTGTGCTGAAGTTGTTGCCAAAGATAGGTTACCACTATACCTAAGTGTTATCTTCAGAAGTGAAAGCAGAGTAATAATCTTTCTCTCCTCCCTCCCAAAGAGATACCACTAATTAGGAGATCTTTGATCCCACTGTCTCCAGCAGAGACTGCTACAGGAAAGGTCATCAGGCCCCTGGCACAAGCATTCAACCTCTTACATGTAAGTGGACCAAGTTTCACAAAATATCGTGTCCTTTCTCTGAATAATTTATTTGAATAGTTGCTGTACCCATCTTGGGTACCCAGCCTCTACTATTTATTACATTTGGTGAAAATTGCACAATTCTCTCCTAGCTCCAAATCAGAAACAAACATCCACCAATAAATCTTCTTTTGATTGGTGGTGCAATGTGCTTGCTCCATTCCCTTGGTCCAAGCTTTAAGATTTAAAGGATGCAACAGCCAAAGGAAAGTGCAAGAGGTATTTTTGCTTTTGTCTCATGCTCCTAACAATGCAGAAACCAAGCAAAACTACAGTGGGTGACTCCTCTGTGTGTGTTTGAGACTGTCCCCTGGGTGGGTGACAAAAAGCCATTTTCCTCTGTCTCACAGCCCCAGCAGCAGGGACAGGGTGAGCTCTCCCTGCAGGAACCAGGCTCATCCCTCTGCCCTACAAGCTGGCAACACAGAGAGTTTCATATGCACATTCCCCATGAATATAACTCTATTTAACAAAGGCTGCACACAATTTGTTCCCTTTCCCAGGTCTTTCCTTCCCTGCTAGCAAGTGGCTGTTGCAGTTAATCTAAGGAGACCCCTCCTAGGCTCTCTTTGCTCACAAACCCTCTTGTGCTGTAAAAGAGATAACTGAAAAATTTTATGGCCAGGTTCTTAAAATATTTTTAAACTTGTCCTTCCCCCCTGCCCCAAGCCTTTTGATGTAAGGAGAAAATCTCACACAGTGCCTACCCTTATCTCCCCAAGAGAAAACAAAGAGAGTTAAAGGCAAATGTCTTCTGCAGAGACTGCCTTTTCTGTGCCGCTCTCCCCACTGTGTGCCAAATAATGGCATCTGTTCCTGCTGTTCTTTAGTTCCCCCATCCAGCGTGTTTTCAACTTCCTGTGAAAATTTGTGGTTCTTAAATCCAAAGGTCATGTTTAACACTTAAGTTCAGTTTGGAAGGATTTGGATTTGTTTCTCTTAATTTTTTTTTTCCCCCAGCTCTCTTTTGAGAGCAGACAAAAGGCTTTCAACCCCTCTTTGCATTGCGTGTTTTACACACTCCAGCATACATCTCTGCAATTCGGGTTAATACTCTGGGAAATATCCACTCATGTATTGATAAGCATTAAAGGATTGTTCTTTCCATGCCTTCTGCCAGGGTTCAGTGTGCTGTTAGCAGCACAAGCTCCTCTCACACAGCCCTCACTGGATGATCAGTCTGCAGTATATAGGAATTCCCTCTGTCAGCTCTACAGAAAATTCAAGCTGCAAGTAAACAAAGCCACATTTCTAAGCAGAGAATCTTAGAGTGAATAGCCAAAATTCTACTCAGTTATGTATGATGGTTTTCTGCAAGAGGAACTGAAACCAAATTATCTAATTAATTTTTCTTATTTGTTCAAGCTGGACTCAAACCGGGATCTCAGAGCTGAGATGCCAGTGAGAAAACTGTCTTTCTGCATTTTATGGGGAGGGAGGCTGAGTTGCTTTGATTATTGATATATTTTAGGCCTGTGTTTATTCAGTATTTCCCTAAAATACAATTTTTTAAAGCGCATATTTGTCAGCCTAACATATTCACTGAGAGATTTTCAGGCATCATTTTAAAGAGGCAGGGAATCAAAGGCAAATTTCTACATCATAATTTTCTACATCAACAGAAAGAAAAAAAGGCCAAGATCTCCATAATTTCCTTTCTAAAATTAAGAAAAATGGTCTGTGCATATTACTGATCATTTATTTCTGTGCCAAGGAACTGGGCTACTCCACAGAGCACTGGGCAAAAGCCAGAAAACAGGATTTGGGGTCCACACTGCCTGTGTCTACCACGCCTTCAGCCTGAGACTATCTTTTCTGTCTGAAAATTTTTCTGGCAAACGCCACTTTAGAGATAAAGGGAAAAAAAATATCCTGAGATGGGTAGGGATTTAATGATGTCATTTAAAAAGTGTTTTGTATGTTTCATTTCTGTTCATTTGAGAAAGGGACTAAACCTCAGTTGTGTGGTGCTCTGTGCCGGCTCCCAAGGTTTTCCCTGCCCTTGATTCACAGGGGGAGGCAGAAGCCTTCATGTCCTTTAGTCTGCACACCCCGTGGATCTGGCGTGGTCTCTCTCGTTTGGTCCCAGAATCAGATGCTATTTCTGGTCTGAAGACATTTGTTCTCAATTGCCTACACAGTTCAATGGGATTTTAAGGTACATTTGTTAGGGATTATAAAGCACCTAAAGATGTATCAAGTGGAAGGGTCAATACAAGATCAGGCTGTATTGTGTTACAGCGTGTTGCATTATGTGCTACGTCTCAATTCGCTGTTGGAAACCAGATGTGGCAGACAAGCCCAGCCTATTTTTTGAACATTTGTAGATGTCTTTGAATTATGTCATCAGCGTTTAAAGATTTCCACAAAGATTTCAAGAAGTAGATTTTCTCAAGTCTTCTAATCATTATCAAAACCTCAAATTCTGGTGGGTAATTGAAATACTCTATCCCAATCCAAAAATATAAGCATAAAAAGAAGGCTTTCATCTTTCATTTGTAATATATACAGAGCATGGTAAGAATTTGCTACCTGTAAGGTGTATTGAATTTTTAATCATCTATATATTTATGGTAAAGAGTAACACATTACTTCTAGCACACAAAAGCTTATGGCATACGATTATCCTTAATTAATGGGTAAGTGCAAAGCTTTATTATTCAATGAAACTGATTTATTATCTTAATTCTGCAACGTTCTACTTCATGTTTCCATTGAAACCATTGTTTGCACCATGGTAACCAGTAACCACCATATGTACGTGATCCCTTTTATGACCTATACGTAATTAGATTTTATTATTTTCTTAAAGCTGAAGTGCTGCCTGTGTGAGTGGCCTGGCTCCCCACCCCTACAAACGAGGGCTGGGTCTCTCATTGCTCCGCTCCTGGGATAACCAGGTGGGATTTGAGCGTGTCATTCTACCCCCGTGGCTGTTTTTCCCCAGCAGCCCTGCACATCCCTGCTCCCCCTGTCCCTGTCTCCTGAGCCTGGCACAGCTAGTTAACTGGAAGGACGTGAGAGCAGCTGAAAGCCAGTGGGTGTCGAGCTGCCTGGTGCAGAGATCCCCAGCTAATTGCTAGTCCTAACAGGCACAATTAGCCGCTACAAGCCCTTTGAGATGGCCCTGGGCTTCTCTCAGGTAACAGCCATCACTAGATAAAGGCTGAAATACGCTGCATTTAGAGAGACACTTGCAGACAGGGATGTCACAGGCTGCCAATTATGCTCTGCCTGTACACAGTCACTTCCAAGAACCAGACAAGACACATACACCTGAAGTTAAAGGGACAAGATGTGTACTATTTTGAACTACACAAGTGTGGGGCACGTGAAGATATAACCCTTCTCAAATTAGGTCGTGTCATCTTTTCAATTATCAGTTCTTGATCAAGTTCTGCAGTGTTTTTGAACATTTGCTGCAAGAAGTAAGTCCTGGAAAGCTCAGCAGGAGAGGGCTGCTTATATTTTTTTGCTGTATGTGATGTTACTTTAAGCAAAGTTTCACCATTACCACACAGATGAAATGGCTTGACAAGCCTCTCTTAACCAAACACTGATGCTCTCTGCCCTGTTGGGACTGCAATCTGTCCATTCCTCACAGAGGAGGAGAGGCAGATTAGCATGGGTAAGGATTACTTTTGAAACTAATGAGTGTCCCCCATTTATCCTTTAAAAAATTACCTTCTCTGAGCATCTTCCTCTCAGAAAATGAACTTCTGTACAAAAACAGCAGCCTAGAAAGGCAGCCTGAAAAAACCCAACAGATCAGATTTTGAGAATGATCAGAAGAAAATGGGCAGTTTCAGGTATCTATCACAGCAACAGCCTCCTAAGAAAATCATTACAGATCTGCACATAAAAATTGAAATGCTTCAAAGTTGGAGACTCTAAGAATTTCCAGACCTAAATCTAAGTTGTGGTCATTGGTATTAAAAAACAATTTCCAAGACATATAATGAGCACAAATTTTGGCTCCTGAGTTAACCTTAGTTAGTTACTCACCTCCCACTTGTGCACCCATTTTAAAAGAGATTCAGAAAAACTGTACACAAAACTTCCTCTGAAGAAAACTTCTTATTTTGTTGCTCTGAGAACTGAAATTATTCCACTGCTTACCTTCAGGTCATGTATCCCCTGCCCTTCTGATAGAACATCAGATCTCCAACATGAATTACAGCACATTCCCAGGGCATTCATCAAAATCTGTCAAACTACCTGTAACAAATAAAACTAAAATTCAATATTAACAGATTTCTATTTATTTCTTATTTAATATCTTAAACATTTCATATTTATCCCTTTTTATTTTTAATAATATCTTAAAGATCATCTTCCAAATCATATCACATCTAGTAGAGCAGGTTAATATTCAGAAGTCACCCTCCCCAGTTCCAACAGATACCATATAGGAATGGCTCTTTATGTTTAGAAAGCTTGAAAATTTTAAATATAAGTTTCTATATTTTAAGACTCACTTTAAATGTTCCCAAGAGCTTTTTGATCTTAATATGGAAAGTATGCAAAGTCTCTAATTACTAATTATGGAATAGTTAAATTCTGTTAAAGGATAAA